AACAAACCTTTATTTTATTTCTAATTTTTGCGTACGATTTACACATAATATAAAATTTATTCAACGATTTATAAGTGTTAGTAATTTGTATATTAATTTCAGATGTGATCATATTTAGCATGAATAGCGATAATAGAGTTATTGCTAGGAATATAGTGTAGAATATTCTGGTATTTATTAATAAGGTTTCATAGCATAGTAAGTACAGAAATAGCTCAGCCATAGGTATCAATGCATTTATGAGTTTAAAACAAATATTTTTCCAAAATTTGTTGTATAATTCAATGTCTAAACAAAGTTTGTTATGATTTCTAAATATTTTGATTAAAATCTTTTCCATTATTAAACACTTTTTGGTCTCAATTTTTGTCAAATAATTATTGAAACCTTTAATACAGTATTTAATGTGAAAGCAAACTATAAAGTAGTAGAAAATAACCCAGATATCAATTCTAATAAACATAAAATACAGAAAATATGTTAAAATTGCAGCTATACACCCATAAATAATTGAATTGTTGTGTATGTATACAGTTACGATAATTAGCAATACAAAACTTAGATCCATTAAATAAATATTCATTATAAACATTTTATAAAAATATTTAATTTTGTAAACAAATTTCTTAATTAAACACTTATCGTATAATCCGATCGATTGAAACGTTTGATAGCCATTGATAGCAGAGATTATTTCAAACCATTTATAATCATTTTTATTACGGGTGTTTAAAATAATAATTAATGAATTACACATAAAGGTGCCAATAATTGCCAATAAATATAGAAACTCTTTTAATTCACCCCAATATTGAAGTATGTCAAAATAATATTCAGGTAATGGTTTGCCATGTTCACATTTGTATAAATAATAAACATAACGACTGAATTGAAATAAATATATTATACATAATATAAATAATTTTGATTTTGATTTCACGGTTTTAGTGATAGTACTGTCGATTGAATCTAATCTATAAAATATTAAATACTTATACAACGGATAGGACATGTCTTTAGATTCAGTGAAACACATTATTTGTACAGAATTTTCATTAAACTCGAGAGAATTGTTTTCAAAATATTTTTAAACTAATACAGAATATATTAATTATACAAAAATAATATATCATTAATAGTATTTATTTTTTGCACTTTCTACTAATGATATATTTATATTACAGTACTGTACTTACAAAATAATTTAAATTATGAAAGTTTAGAAAAGTTACTTTATAAATTTAATGATTTTATTTAACTACATTTAACTACTACTTAAGAATTTTATTATAATTTTATTTAATAAGGCATAGTTAGCCTTGTGAATACATTATGATCATAATAGGTAATTAATTATTGTGATAATTGTAATTAATTAATTATTCCATAATAAACTGTAATAAAAATTGCAATAGTTATTATAGCATATATTATTTTTAAATTTATAATTAGAAATTATTTATTGATTACAGAATTTATATGAATGTCACAAGTAAATGTGAAATGTATTTTTACTGTAAATGCACTAAAAATATAACAATAAACACTTTTAATCTGGGAGTCAAACATAAACATTAATTTCACAATTATTTCTATTGAAGTTGAGTAATAAACTGTACCTGTCATTATCCTGAAATTATACTGTTTTACACATAATATACACTAAATATAATACTAAACATGTTTTGCATACCTCCGGGTGGGAAAGCGACTGAAAAGCTTGATGCTGTTGCTGTTAGGGGTGGTGTTAGGGGTGCCGCCAAATGTGCCATACCTGGAGACCATAACTGATCCAAATATCCATAGCAATGCCTGAACTGGAGACGGGTTGCTTATCTCCACATCTAAATCGATATCTTGGTCCTCATTGCCTGTCATTTATATCCCATAAATTGCTTTAGAATTTAGCATCAAATATATGGGTTTATAAATTATGTAAATTACTGTACTGTATATGAAAATTATATGAATTTTCATCAAAAAATTAAATTAGTTTTTCTTATCATCCGTTTAAATATAGTGTAGCATGTGTTTAACATTCACAATGTAAACTACATTTACCATAAATTTATAGTAACTAGCTTAACGTTAACTTCAAAATTCACTTTTAATGCACATATAATTGAGTGAAAAACCATTGGTGTGCGAGAAACTGGTCGATAGTTATTGTCCTCTGAGCGGGATTTGGCTCTAAGAGTCGGTCCAAGAGATCTCGCAATTCCTGGTCGTAAACCGCAATGAGATTCTCAACGCGGAGGACATCCCTTTTCAGTAACTTCGAGGCATTCCCCCTCTGTTGTGGCGGTAAGTTGCGGATATTGGGCGGATAAAAGGCATACTCGGCTGATAACATCGCCAACAGACAGGCGCCCATTGAATACATGCCCGCTTTCATAACATCATAATCAGTGGGGATGTCATAGCATTCCGGTCCACACATGTTAATACTGCCCAGTGGTCCGTTCGCTCGTGCTATATCTATAATGAAAAATATATTGAAATTATAATTATTACTGTATATATATATACTTTGTGAATGTGTTGATAAATAATAATTATTATCATGTTTTGCATACTTCCGGGTGTAAAGGTCGCAGAATTGCCAAAATCAGTCAACTTCGGCAACCAATACAGGCGTCGATCCCAATAGACATCGACACCGCTGTGTTGAGAGGCTATTGGAGACCAGAATATCACAATATTCTCTAATTGAATGTCTCCGTGAGACACGCCTACCGTATTGAACATGTGTCGCAGACCTAATGCTATACCATGGACGAGGTGTTGAAAATACAGGGCTTTGATTGGTCTCCACTTGAGTTTGAGAGCCTGATCGGGAATCAACATCTGGTCGGTGAGGTCACCCAACGGTCCCAATTCCATCACTATATAACTACTGATCCCTTCCGTGAAGTGTGATTGGCTATTATTTAAACGTAATATAGCCAATTATCAAGTCCAATTCAACGGGAATTTTAACACAATTACCCTGATACATGCCACTTATTTGTCGCCACCGATTACCACCCAGACCGTATACTTTCCCACGCTCAGTTAGCACAAGTAGGTATTGATTGCCACAACACACATGCTTAATTTTAATAAAATTTTCACCAGGGAAATGTACGATAGTCGGTTTACGACAATTTTCGTATAAAAAATTACCATACGTAAATAGCGTGGTCATTTCACTGTTTGCAGCTACGGCAAAGCTATGACCATGGTAAAATGCGCTAATATTCTTGCGACATAATTCGGGTACAATTTCCGGTGTATCGGCGGGTGTGTTGTGTCCCAACCCTAACTGGCCGAAACAATTGGCGCCCAACCCATAAACCAGGTCATCGGTGGTCACGTACAACATATTGTGTCCGTGCGGGTCGTCAAACACGTAAAATAACTTTATGCCCACCTTTAATGTGTCGCTAATATTATTACTTATTATAAAATTATTTAAGCATGATGCTGCCATATTTGTAATTATTATATGATTATGCGAGCGAGCACAATCTAACAATGTTTATAATTAGAATAAAACGTATATTAAACTAGTTTACTAATAAATAATAATATCTTGGGTATTTATTAAAATATTCAGTGGTTGAATTGAAAATTATTATCACGGCTATTTTCGAAATTTTAGTAAAACTATTTCTATGTATAAATATAAATAGTTTACCATCATACATTAATAAATTATTAATTATAAATTATTACCTTAACTTGTAAGCGTAAACATATAATACTGTATTGCTATTGCTATGCAGCAACGTACATTTAAGTAAACAAATATAAGTACTTTTATGCGATTATTACCAACGTAATGTGAATCATAATTACATTAACTACAATAAAAATCGCACCATTTTATTTAATATATACTTATTTGTTTTATTAAAATTTATTTATTTAAATGTATTAACAATTATATTTAACAATTACTTGTTTTATAATGGAATACGAGTGGCAGCAGAAAATTTATAACATAAATTTTACTAAATTCATCAAGGATATTAAACTAGACACACCATTTATGAACTTGCTAAAAACTCATCCATGTGCTTATATGCTGCCAGATATTGAGGTATTAAAACCATTTTAACAATAAATCTGATTATTATAAATAAAATGCTTTAATGTATATCACGTATTAGTCCATATACTCATGGTACAGTTAATATACCAAGGATAATTAATTAAACAATGTACATTATATAAATTATAATACGTAGATTATAATTATATAAATTAAATTGAAAGGGCGTATGTGGCGCTATTGTAAACTGTAAACGTATACGTTATTTAAAATTATAGAAAATATAAATTAATTTATTAAAACTTATTTAGTAAATACAAATAAATATATTTTAGTTTTAATTAATTATATTGTCACACGCGGGCCCCTATTCTATGCTTTAGCTAGCGTTCCCAGAACCTCAAGGATTGACAGGAGTCTCAAGGAATTGGTCATTTGTTCAAGGAGAGATTTTCAATAAAAATTACCATTTCAATGGGACTCAGTTGAAATTATTTAGCAATTTCTAAAATATCCTGGAGAATAAGGAGGATTTTTGGGTAAAAATCATTATTCTCAAGGAAACTGATTTTCAGATCTGGGAATGCTAACTAATAACCAAATTCATAACATTAGCAATAATTTATAACAAAATTATTGGTTATCAAATAATGTGCGTTAAAGAGCACAAGTAGTGTTACTCTTTGCCTAAATATAACAAAATAAAACCCTAACAGTCAATATAGGCTTCGTTTTGAATAAAATTAATAAGTATAATAAAAATTTTAAAACATTTTAAACAATTAAATAATTAATAAACAGGCTTGCTTTCCATACGTGACAATATTATAAAACATTTAAAAATTAATATCTACCTATACGGTACAAACTAACATTTATTATAATCAATTTAAATCAGGAATTAAAAAATGAACGAGAGAAAATAATTCGCATATTTTCGACATTCGTGTTGAATCGCCATAATTGCACCAAGATGGCCGATATACTGGAACAATCGGGACAAACTAAACACGCTAAATGGCTGCGCGATTTTAACCAAAGCGAACCAGTGTGGCACTATTCGGACGAGGTGAATTTGCAAGTAACCAAGTCCACCACGATGAACTCGGCCACGACTGTGCTGCTAAAAATGGACTCCAAGCCCCGTGGAAAAGCGGTCATATTTGTCAACATTAAATCGCTGCTTAAGGAAGCCGAAAGGTTCAAGTACATTTTGCAACAACTCGAATTCGACGTGGATGATATTATTGCACAATGCTCGAACAAAGTTATGAGGGACAAATTGGGCGAACTGGCCATCATGAATCACGATAAGCACGATGCCTTTTTTATGATGTTTATTGGTCATGGTCAAAACGAGGAATTGTGTTGCACGGACAAAAATGTGCCAATAAAGGACATTGCTTACATGTTTTCGGAGGCTAATTGTTTGGAGCTTAGAAATAAGCCCAAAATATTCGTATTTAATTGTTGTCGAATAGGTTTGAATAAAATTATATATAACATGACCTTGATGGAATAATTCTCCAATTGTTACAGAGGGAATTCATGTCGACCTTGGTTGCTTTGGTATCAAGCTAACATTTAAAACTTTAACTACTAAAGGCAATGACACTAAACGGATGTTCATGATTTATTCGTGCGAACAAGGTATTTTCTATAATACTATGCATAGTTATGTCCCTGGTTTATATATATTGCATAAATTATATATTATTGATAACTGGACGGGATTCAATGAAAACATAAATGTGCAACTTGTATTCATTTATATTTACTATCGATTTAGATGAATGTGCCTACTACCAGGGTGATAAGGGGTTTACATATTTCGGACGTGCTTTTAGTCACGTTATTGCACAGTACGCCTGTTCCAGGGATATACTTGAAATTATACTCCGGGTATTTATTACAAAAGCTATTTACTGGTATATACGGTCTGATAATCTAAATAATTAAATCACAATTTTAGACATCATTTCGGTTGGAGGAGGACATGAAACAAGTAAAAGAAAATATTGAGCAAGGTCCAACGCTAGAGCTACCTAAATTCACAAAGTCATTTCATTTTAACCCGGGACTTTTTAAAAATGATTGATAATTGCGCTTTATTTGTAATATTTACCACACATTAGCGCTGAACTAAAAAGTATTATTTAATATATTATTGAACTCTAATAATCAAAAAGATTTTCAAAATTAGTTTATTACAACATTTAAATAATGACAAAATATGCGAAATTCAAATATAAATTATACATTTATTTTTTTAATACTTGCAGTGAATGAGATTTATGTTAAATAATTCATATTTAAATTTTACACTTGTTTAATGTAACATAAACTGAGCCGATAAAATAAATTAACCTAACTTAACCTAAACTATCTAACCTAACCCAGCATAACCTAGGCTAAAATAGTTTAAATATTTCTATAAATAACTTTAAAATAAAACAAGTTATTAATTGTTTTTAACAAGTTATAGTAATTAATTGCTTTTCAGATATATTCGCTATTTATTGGCATAATGTTATCAATTAATAACTATTAGGCAATTTGTTTTGCTAAGTTTGTCTCTACATCCCTGTCCCCCGCGCACCTCCTGTTCCCCAAACAAAAAGGAAGGACATAATTAAAATCAAGGTTATGGTACGAAAACTTGATTTTATTCTGTAATAAAAATATGAGCGAAAAGTTGATAAAAAGTGTTTTTAAGTCAAATGAAAAAAAGTTCACTAAAAATAAGTCTATTTCTGATCATTTGCTGTAATGAAATTGCATTTTGATTTCAACCCAGAGTTTAATTTTAACTTTTTTGTGATATTTTTTAAATGTTTGGATATTTAATAGTATATTAGGTTAATGCTAGTTTACAATCCTAGTTTTGAAAATTCAAACACAGAATCCGTAAGAATATTATTAAATATATTCTAAAATTAATTTTAATTTACATTTAGTTATAATTACAGTGGTTTTAAAAATATTTTATTATGTTTGTTAAAATATTTTATTAAACTGTAATATTATTTTACTATTTTAATTGTTTGTAATTAACATGATAAATTAATAATGAAACAAATGTCGGTGCAAACTATATATGTTGGGAGCACCTACACCGACACCCCGCTTAACCTATTAATTAATATCATGAGATTCTATGGATTCCGTCAACATATGGACACCCGGTATACGACACATTTACGTGTTTGCGCCATACGTTTAACATTAATTATATTTACCTTGTTTGCTGTATACCGGCAATTGTATAACAATTATATGCTAACTATATTTATAGCAACAAAAATGACCGCGACCCTAATTGTTTTACTAACACATTGGTGCGACAAAAATGTGCTCAATCTAAATATCATGGTACCCAGATTAAATTGCACCACGTTTCGTTTTCGCACATATTTGTTGCTACTGTTTGTAATAATTTCTATTATGATTTATATTATTTGCGATATCATCAAGATCCTTATTTAGAATAAAGTATATATATTATATAATATGTTCATTGATAGAGAAGTCAATGATCACGTGACCAGGGTATTTGATACGATTGTACACTACATGGCACAACAATTTCCAATGTCCCTGACGTGTTTGTATAGTGCGCTAAACTGTCAAATAATATCGCAAATGTCCAAGGACCTAAATCGGCAAATATCGGAAAATAAGTACGAAATTAAGCCGGGTGATTTGAGAAAGCTACAATTAATTTACAATAGAATATGCGACAAAGCATTACGATTGCAAGCGGTTGTATCAGGGTCACTATTGAACATGTTTGTTTATTACAATTTCGATATATCTATCTACATATTTCACATTATACGCTACGTATGCTTTCCGGACCACTCGGGTAACTCACCTAGTTGCAAATTAAAATTTTAGAATAATTTTACAACCCTATTAAAAGCAATAGCAATATATAATATTAATTCATTTGATCCAGGTGACTGGTTTGACCTACTAATCACGTTTCACCGGTTATCATACGTTATAACGCTATACCTATTGGTGACTATAAGTGCCGCGAATATGACCCACGATTCCCGGCAAACATACCGCGCGCTCACGGCTTATGTTAACTCATACAACGGGCCCATACCTACCGACTGTTACCCTGTGCTCACGGAACTCATGGGACACTTGAGGCACGATTGGGTGGAGTTGAACGCCTGTTTCCTGTTTAACGTAAGGCTGTCCCTGATTTGGACTACGATTACGATTATAATCACGTATTCGGTGCTGTTTATGGAGCTAGATCAAATTGATTTGATCAGGGTGCTGTTTAGAAAAAATATTCAGAATATTACTATGGTAACTTAATATGTTTGATTTAAGTTTGATGATATTACAATGATATAAAAACTGTTTTATTTTAAAGTTATTTATAGAAATATTTAAACTATTTTAGCCTAGGTTAGGTTAGGTTACTAATTTGGCGATTTTGTCCTAGCTATTTTAAATTCGCGATTTTGGGGTAGACCCGTACAATACAGTATTGAAATCAAACTTAAAACGTAAACAAAACTCAAACAAAAAGTTTCAAACAAAACGTTTTCTATGGAAACACAACACATCTCTCACTCTCTGCTGTCAAACCACAGATCAATTGAAGTGATAATTGGCATCAAAACTGATAATTAAGACCACAATCGATGGCATCAGATATGAAGGACTGGCACAAGTGGACAATTGTCTCTAATATTAATTAAGACACGACTCGTGAGGAAAGTAAGAGTCGTTTGTATGAATGATAAAAATTGTCAAATGTTTGCAAACATAGCGTTGAGTGCAATGAATGCCAATCTAATAATCAATACATTAATGAATGGCTTTTCGGAACTTTTGATAGAAAATAAAGTTTTTTGGCCTAAAGTTTAGGTAGTTTTCAATGTAAGGCCATTATATGGACAACACTTCTGATTTCATTTACCGTTAGTTATTAATAAATTATATTTTAAAGTTTGCATTCAATTCATGTGTTAATCGGATCCATATCTCTAACAATCATTCATTAAATTAGACACAAATAATGCAAACAAAACACTATAAATGCATTCATTGTCCAGGTTTATTTGAAAACTTTTTAAATTGTTTTAAATAAAAACTAATTGATTGCATTTATTTCTAATAGAAATATAAATTAAATTAAAGTATAATTTTTATGCAAAGAATTGAATTAAAATATAGAAATCATGTGTGATTTGAATTCAATGCATTATTCACTCACTTATGGTTCAGTATTACATGAATTGTCTCACATTTAAACCATTATTCAAATCAAATACCAGTCAATCAATACATACCTTACTATACGTCTAACAACTACTGCAAGACGTCTGGACTCCAGATGACCGTCGACTACAAGTTTGGCGGACTTTATGGCAGCTATAGGTCTACTCGAGTCACCCTTTCAATAGAATTGAAGGCATTATTCACTCACTTATGGCTCAGTATTACATGAATTGTCTCACATTTAAACCATTATTCAAATCAAATACCAGTCAATCAATACATACCTTACTATACGTCTAACAACTACTGCAAGACGTCTGGACTCCAGATGACCGTCGACTACAAGTTTGGCGGACTTTATGGCAGCTATAGGTCTACTCGAGTCACCCTTTCCTGGGATTTACATACGATTGAAGGGTAGGAGCCGACGGTTGATGTCGTGTCCGATATCCCCATTCAGTGCCTATCGGTGTGTATGTCGGGTGACCTGTCTTTCGTTTGGCGGACGGGTTGGTCACCAACTCATAGACATTATCTCACCTCTGGAGCGTATGTGAGGTGAGGGGCCGATAGATTCCGGCGCCGATTAGTATACACTTTCGTACACTAAGAGTACAGTTCTTCTGAATGTGGCGGACATTAACTGATGGGAAGTACTTATTACTGATGGAAGCGTCGGAATAAGAAGCGAAAGTCCAATGATATGGCCGTTCAGTGACCGGCCGGTCATGTCTTCGTGAAGACCTTCCATCTCATCGATGGTGTCATTCGTGTCAAGACGTGAGGTTCAGACGAACAGCCGTTTAATGAGTTTGTAGTGACTGTTGAGTACACTTCGACCCAAGACTTGACATCTGGTGTCAACAACACTGGTGTTGGCGTCCAGTCATACCAATCGAGTCGTGTATGGAGTCGTCGATCGCCTGACAATCGGTTTTCGTCTTCAGAGGCCACGAGTTGTGAGAGGAAGGGATGGAATGGTAGACAACATAAGACAATACAACACATCCAACGGTTAGACAAGTGTAGACAAGGGATCCGTTGAGTCGAAGACTACTCTCTGCTGGGGCTGAGAGTCATTGTCTGTCATCGATGGTCGTGACGTCCAAACCGTCACCGACGACACCAAAGGTATTGTCTTATGGTTTGCTTCCGATGTCTTGAGCGGTAGGTCTCCTGTGATTCAGTGACTCGTCTCGTGTGGTGAGAGTCATCGTCGGATCATTGATGGGTCGCTTATCTCAAAACTCGTCCACAAAACCGTTGTCCTCTCTCTGTGTGTCCTCCGAAGGCGGGAACTCCTCGTCGTTTGAAAGACGACTCCAAACACGACACGAATGGTATGGCCGGACGTTAGTACCAGTGCTGTCACCACCAGTAGGTCTTCGTCTCGAAGTCTCAAAACATTGAGCGCCAGTTCCTCCAGAACTCGTTGTCTTCACACCAATAGCACTACAGATGAGATATCTGGTCAGCACTGGTACGCCACCAGTAATCTAAGGTCTCCGTCGAGCCATACCATCGAGTGATCACTTCTTAAGCAATACCTCAAACCAATCACATGTCTGATGTGAAGGGAATAGAAAAGAGTGGTTAGTATTCGTCGATTGGAAGTAGTCTTGAGGTATAAGACACGGAAACACATGAACTACTGAGCCATAAGTGAGTGAATGTATGATCCGGTGATCAGTTGTCGACTGAATATTAGTTGAAATAAAGTTTTTATGATTTCATTGTTTCTATTGTTTGTGCAAAAAGTTTTTCGTAAGTTTTCAAAAATAAACTTTTTATTGTCAATAAATTGTTATAAACGCGAACTTTCTATTAGAAATAATTCATTTGAATTAAAAATAACAGTTATTTAATAACTGCTAAAATATATTTTGAAAAGTGAACACAAAATAGAAATTCTTGAAAATAACTGTCCATTCATTCACTTATTTATAGTGTATCTCTTAAATGAGTATTTGTGTCATGAATTCACTGCCATCTCATACACTACTGGTTGTGATGATTGGTAATTAAGATAATCAACAAATCCGTTACAAATAAACTAATCTTATATTAAATCCATTGTTAGGTATGTATGCGTTTGGGTTAAGGATGGGATCACCAGTGAAAGACTGGGTATATCCTAACATGAATGCCAACCAACACGGAAAGGTGGGTCACGATTACCCCGACATTAATACGGAAACCTGTGGTCTGTTCAACGGCACCGGTATTCAGACGCGTATAGTGAACGGCGCTGTGGCTGAGAGGGGAGAGTTCCCGTGGATGGCAACCATTCACGACGTGGCGGCTAAGGATAATACATTCATATGCGGGGGCGTACTGTTTGGGGACAGGTTTATATTGACTGCTGGCCATTGCATCGTATCGTAA